CCCTTCCCATTATCACAACAAGCCCGTCTGCTCCCATTGGTTGGTCAGGTGGAAGGGGGCAAACAGGGGGAGGGTCTGAGGCTAAACAGAGGAGGAGGTGTTTGGTAAATGCATGAAGGGGGTTATAAGGGGGGCTGACAGCGTCCTACAAACTGTCACAGAGGGGGAAAAGGGTTGCAGTAACGTCTCTCTGCTTGAATAATATATCTTTACTCAAAATGTATTTTCTTTTGGTGGATTTTCAACACCTCTTCCTTTCTATTTACACAAGGTTGAGGGGTGCAGAAGAAAGCAACAGGAACATCGGATCACCTTAAGGCTCTTCCTGGAGTTTGAGACTAACATAATAATGGGGATCCAAGAGAGAAAGGGGGATCCTTGTGTGTGTGTGTGTGTGTGTGTGTGTGTGTGTGTGAACATAACGAATGTGTTAGTGTTTGTTAAATCAACCTGTCTTTCTGCTCTTCTCGTCTTCCTCCACCATGTGAGGTTATTAATAAACGTCCTGACCCACATCCCTGCCGGTGTAATTATCCTGTCAGTCACAGTGTGTGGTCAATGACTCCTCCCTGATTAATGACTGCGATCCTTGCAGGTGATCACAGTTTAATTAGGATTAATTGGTTTCACATCCAAAGTCACCTGTAGCATCTCCCTGGTTCCCTCCAATAAAAGGGGATTTTGTCATGTGATTTTGGATTATTGCAGAAATTAATCTCTGTGTCAAACAAACGTTTATGACACTGACGCGATTAGTTCAGCAGGATAATCTCCACATATTAACACCACTTTATGATTTCTGAAGTAAAAGCTAACGTTAGGCTATTAAGGAACTACAGCACGGTCACTAAGGTGTTGGGCTATAAGGAATACAGCACGGTCACATGACTTCAAGTCACCACCGCTAAGCTAAAGGTGGCTAATGTTGGGCTATAAAGGAACTACAGCACGGTCACATGACTTCACGTCACCACCGCTAAGCTAAAGGCGGCTAATGTTGGGCTATAAAGGAACTACAGCACGGTCACATGACTTCACGTCACCACCGCTAAGCTAAAGGTGGCTAATGTTGGGCTATAAAGGAACTACAGCACGGTCACATGACTTCACCTCACCACCGCTAAGCTAAAGGAGGCTAATGTTGGGCTATAAAGGAACTACAGCACGGTCACATGACTTCACGTCACCATCGCTAAGCTAAAGGAGGCTAGGCTATTGGAGGAACTAATATACAGGAACATTATTTTGACAATCCCAACAACGCATTAAAAACTCATTAACTTCTAGAGAATAGAGAGCAGTAAGTGCAAAAACGCTGACTCATTTCCAGGTTTTGGGACTCATTACTCCAGCTTTGTTTAGTTGTTGAGATAGAGATCAACATTCCCCACACTGCCAGAACCAGTCGTCGGCCATCTTGAGTTCCTGTCTGGACGAGTCTCAGTTACCCGTCCTCCGTAAAAATAGAATAAAACTTGATCTCATGTTTTCAGAGGCTGCAGGACTCTCTGAGGAATATCATGTTCTCTATCTGGACCTGCAGCAACTTAGCAAGTAATTCATAACAGACAGATGAGAAGACGGGTATTGATTTCATCTCCGTGTGCAGGGATAGGGTCCTTGTAAAATGAAATGTCGGCATGAGCAGTGTGACATTTTATTAACATATCAGTGCTATTGCCTCTTTAGAGAACCAATGCAAGAACATTAACATATTCAGAGGTAACTATGCCAAGATTCAAAGTCCTGCAGGACTCAACTTTAAAGTGCTTTTTAAAATCCTCTTTTTCCGTGTTTCTGTGCGTGGAAAAATGTCTAGGACATGTTTAGCCTAGCAGATAAAACATGTTTTTCCTTCATGGGATGCAATTAAAGGCTATTGGCTGAAAGTGTTAGGGACATGTGAAATGTATCCACCAGGAAAAATACTCAAATTGACCAGAAAGAGTCTCTGTAGGGACATGAAAAGACTACAGGGAGATAATGTAAACGTGTTAACTACAAATACTTCTACAAATAAGTTAGTTGCAAGTACATTCACAGACAACTACAACCAGAGTCAAAACAACCACAAAGAGACTTAAAAAGTACTTTAAACGTATGCAAAAACCAATGGATGACGTCATGGAGACTACATCCACCTCTTTTTACAGTCTTTGTGCAAAACTCATAAAAAAACAATACTACCACCAAGCAACTATGACAATTACTATTCAACATTGCCCAGGTTGACCTACGAGAGATAGGGAGTTGCGTACCTGGGTCTGGTGGTATGATTTGTTTAGTTGTATCGCTATGTACTGTCTTGGTGCAAAAGTAGGATAGAAAATTCAGCATATGCGTAAAGCAGCTCTTACCATTGCTTTGCGACATTGCCCAGGCTGACTTTTATAAAAGCAGATATAATGTCATTCATGGGAAAATTATCAGAGTAAAAAAAGAAAAATAGGTCAGATTTCTGAGAATATTTTCAGAAATGGCGTTTCTGTACATTCATTTTGTCCTGACTGTATTCCGTTTACTTTCTTCTCCGCAGGGCGAGGCTGAGATCCCATCAGTGGCCGTCACAAAGTCTCCCAAAGGAACCGGCCTGGATGGAGTGGAGGTCGAACCCGACATCTACGACGTCCCCGCCGACCTCTCCTCGGATGAAGAGTACCTGAGCGTTGACGAGGCCGACCCCTCCAGAGCCACCCGCATGAAACAATCCATGGTGAAGAGCAGCGAGACCCTGAAGGCCGCTTTCTCCAAGGAGAACATGAGCAAAACCAGAGGAAACCTGGGCACCAAGTTCCACAACCTGGGGGAGAAGGTGATGCCTCACGAGCGTCGGGACAAGATGCATCAGGCCGGCGAACGCCTGAAACAGTCCGGAGAGCGTCTGAAGGACAACATCGCCAAGAAAGCGCCGAGCAGAGAGACCTTTCGCATCAAACTGAAGAAGGAGAGGGCGGTGGCTGAAGGGCAGGAAGGCGCCGAGGCTGAAACCGAAGGCGAAACAGAAGCAGAGGCCGAAGCTAAAGTCCCAGCGGAGGAGAAACCAGTTGCCTACACTGAAGTTGCGATGGAAACCAAGAGAGAAGGTCCGGTGGAAGAAGCAGGCGCGACCCGGATACCAGAGGACGAATACACAAAGTAAGATGGAATTGGAAAAGGAGGCGGGCAAATCGGGGGAACCTCGAAACGTTGAGGATTTAGAGAGAAGGTCTGCGATTGGTCGACATCCACGATGATGGACACTCTTATCTGCAAGAATGTATTAAAGACGAAAGAAAACTCTTGAAGTGGGCTTTTCGGGACTCATCCGAACGCGAACTGGTCATTTATCAAAGTGTCAGGGTGTGGAATTATATGATTCAAACAGCGTGACATGAATGTAAGAATCTTTATTTCAAATGATGAAAATCAGGTTTCAAGTTTGTTTGGTTAATTTGTGGAGTCTACATTTGTGGGATTATAAGCAGTGATTAGCACTGGACGCCTGGAAGGTAAAGAAATGGTTGATTGAGGACGATGAATGTTGATCTGGAGTTCGGGTACTGATCTTTTATCTGGATGTACATATAATGTTGTACATACTGCCAAACATTTGGGAGGTGAAATTCGGTCGTTGCGGGCCTCAGCTGGTCTCTGAGACGCCCGCTGAGGAGATAAAATAACGGATAATGGATTTAAACGTCAGACTGGTTTCTGTATGCAAAATAGTGGGAAGTTTAGAGGCGCTTGAAAGCAGCATCAGCGATCGCTTGGATAGACGCTAAAGCTGCACATGGGAAAGGTTTGGGACTTCATTACCCAGAGTTCATTGCACCCGGGATAAACCGAGTGAAATGTTCAGGGGCAGGAAGTTGAGTAAATTATGGCTACCAAGTTAACATTCAATTACAGTGTAGTCACCTTAATAATAGTTCAACTAAATTATAATTGTGTTTGTTGGGAGCGTCAGATCTGTCCCAAGATTTTAAAAGAAATATACGAAATGCAATGGTAATTTCGTTAACAAATGATAACGTTGTCACCAAAGTACGGTGGCCCTGAGGATCCAAAGTGCATTTTAAAATGACAGTAAAATATTTCATAAAACACAACTTCGTACATGTTGTGTTTTGACCTTCAGGGCCACCGTACCAACGTCATTACACGACGAGCCGATATCAACTTGCGATATTGTTGATGAAAAAAACACTCAAAAAGAACCTCAAATCTGTCTTTTGATGTGTTTTTAAATATCGTAAACAAGTTTCCTCTGAGAAAGGGCTGCACCAAATGGAAATATTCAACATTACATTTTACACCATTCATTTAGGGGACACTTTTATCCAAAGCTTATTTCAAAAAGTGAAATTAACCACGTCTGTTGCGATACATTATAAACACATTTCCCCAAAGGGTTTTGGATCTCCTTTGGAATTCAAATACAACTTTGAGGCTTTGATTTAAGCTAAAAAACAGTTGTATTGAGCAACAGCAGCAGCGGATAAAACAAATAAAACTTAGCATGAACTTAACAGTAACACAGTCCCTTATAAAGATCGTGGACGTCAGACTGTAATTACTCTTGTGAAAGTGGATGTAGTGGCTTTAACGCTTTTTGCTGATATTCGACGTATGAATGTTGTATTTCGTCCGGCTTTGCTGCTTGATATATATTTTATTTTGAGGTTTAGTGGCTGGCTGTATTCTCCTGGAGTGATTATTAGAGGAGACTTTTTCTGTAGAAGCTTATCTCACGTAGTGCTGTTGATATATATTAGCACAGTGTCTTATTCTGAACGCACTTCCTGTATAGCTTTCATTTCACGACTTGCTGTATTTATGTTCCTGGTGAGTGAAACTGTACTGGTGGAACATTTCATGAAGTAGATTAATAGTATTTGGGTTTAAACAAGGTTTCATCCGTTGCATTTGTTTCTCTTTTTTCATTTTTAATTACAGCTCAGTTTCCATTTTGTGTTTTGTTGTCATTTTTACAATCATCTCGATCCAGTTTGAATGCTTTACAATGAGAATCAGCTGATTGGGAGCTGTTGTTTTGGCCTGTACGCTATACTGTATAAGCAACACCTGACATTAATCATTTTGTTTTTGTATAAATAAAGACTCATGAAACCTCCTTCAACGGTATTCAGATATTTTGATTCAGTAAAATCAGTAATGCAACACTCAATGAATTCCCTGTTACAGGTAAGAGTCATGCATCATTTCCTTAGAAACGTCTTCAAAATATACTTTCAAACTATAATGGCCTTTTTAAGAATATACTTGTGTGTAGTGTAAACTAAGCTCGCCACCATGAGCTTTTTTAAATGACATCTTGATTGGTAAAGCCATTTTTCTGAGTAAAAGTAGAAGTACTCAGATCTTGTACTTGAGTAAAAGTAGAAGTACTCAGATCTTGTACTTGAGTAAAAGTAGAAGTACTCAGATCTTGTACTTGATAAAAGTAGAAGTACTCAGATCTTGTACTTGATAAAAGTAGAAGTACTCAGATCTTGTTTGATTTGTACTTGAGTAAAAGATGACTTCACGTCTCCACCGCTAAGCTAAAGGCGGCTAATGTTGGGCTATAAAGGAACTACAGCACGGTCACATGACTTCACG